TGTCTGGTCTGATGGAGGCGGCTGGTGGATCTGAGCCGAGTAACTCCACCTCGTTCCAGCAGAGAGGTTCCACTACCTTAGAAGGGGCCATTTTTATCTACAGACACCGCATGGCCTCTTACATGGACGTCAACATGTTGCACCACCATGTTTCTACAGTAGCCCAAACGGACAAACTGCTCTACAGAGCGCGTTTCGTCACTGTGGTGATATGTACAAAGAAGAAGAAGTCGTTGTTTGGTTTCTTAGAAGTAAGAAGAGAAGTAAAATTTAGACAAATCGACGACCACACGTGTTATTTAGCTCAGAGCCGACAGAGCGTAGTTAGTTTCTTCTAGCGCTGTAGTACTTGAGACCTGTCTTAAGACCACTTTCTGATGGTTTTGGTCTCGTCTCGGACATTTTATTTCAAGAAGAATATTAATAAATTGCTTTTGCATCGTCTGATTTATTTGTTAACATCCGAACTTTGATTGGGTGTAAAATGTATTGCTGCAAATGCAACCAATAACCCTAATTAAAAAAGTGTTGTTACCGTTAACGCCTGTCCTCCCCGCGATGGTCAGCATGGAAATGGAGCGTTGAATAAAGATGCTTATGTTGATTTCAGCTCTTGGTGTTTGTATGTGGGTGTTTTAATGGGTACCTCTGATCTCGTTTCACATTTTATTGTGCGTCATGTAATGTGGTAAACTGGTCTTGGTCTCGACTCAGTCTCGATAAACTCTGGTCTTGGTCTTGACTGGGTTGGGCGGTCTTGACTACAACACTAGCTTCTCCTGCTCGCTTGCAAAGGGAGGGGTGAGCGGTGACTGATGGTGCTTTCATGCGGTGTCGGAATAATCAGAATAATTTTTTGCTCCTTAAATCTTTATTGCAAAAAGAGGAATAAAGTGTACATGGGACATAAAGAAGTATACAAATATATAAGAAGACACAAACAATAAAAACTTTACCTGGGGTAGTCTATATTATATAAAGATATTAAAGGAGGACCAGATGTTTTCAGCCTCTTTTTTGTTGGATTTAGAAATTAAATTAATATAATGAACAACCTGATGGATAATAGGTACAACGTCATTTTTTTTTACTGCTGAATTTCCATTTTTGAATGTGGAATTTTTCCATTATAATTAATAAATGTATTATAAAGTACTTTTCTTTCACTTCTATAAAATCAAAATACCACATTCTCCACATCATTGCAAAATCTCTGTAAATATGATTTACATTTATCTGACCCTTTTATCCAAAGCGACTTATAATTGCTATGTCAGAGGTCGCACGCCTCTGGAGCAACGAGGGGTTAAGTGTCTTGCTCAGCGACACATTGGTGTCTCACAGTGGATTCAAACCCGGGTCTCTCACATCAAAGGCATGTGTCTTATCCACTGCTCCATCACCACCCCGCAAATATGGTCAAAGATGAATCTGCTGAAGTTAAGTCGAAGAAAACTTTGGTACAGGAGTTGCCGAGTTGTTGACGTCTTACATGTAGAAACATGGCAGACAACATGGTTGATGGTTAGAAACTTTTAATTTGTGCTAAATCACGTATTGCATATACATATTCAGCTCCTACCCTCACCACAACCATCAGGAATGTTAGTACCTAAACCTAAGTCACTGAATGTATGCATGTCGACCGGCTAACCCTACAGCTGCGCACATCGGACTCACGGCCGATGTGCTAACAGGTGGGGTCAGCCTCCCGTGTGTTGCTGCAACGTAGGAAACGGGGGTGTTTCATACGGACGCTGAAGGGTACCTTTACCGTAAAATCCTTACGCTTTGTCACACTGTCTGAAAGCGTCAGTTATGATGCATTGAGATGAGAACGTGTTGACATATTTTGCAAACATGTAATCTGGTTATAACGGTTAGTTTGCTGTCTGTGTAGAGTTAACTGGATGTCTGCGTGTTGTTTATCTGCTCTGATTATGTTAATCCAACACATCTTTGTAGCAGCATCCATGTTGATTCCACATTAAGAGCACATGAACGAACACTGAAGTCTTAAGAACAACTTCACAGCTCAGGAAATGGGACCATCCGAGGAGCACCTGAATGCACCGTGAGCTGCGGATTTTTGTAGTTTTAGTTCATCGGTCACCTTCTCGTTATGGCTTAGCTTTTATTTGTTGATTAAACTACATTTAGTTGTGGTTTTGGTTTGTGTAGTTTCTTATTGTTGGCCTTGTTCTTGTCATTGAAAAGGTTTTTGACTCTACAAACATCAGATCTCTACACAGACTCCTCGGCGTCTCCTTTCTGTTCGCTCGTCACATAAAACGTCAAACTGTAAATCTGCTCAGAGTAACAAACACGATTTATTTTGGAGTTATTAAGCTCTGGCCACACCTTTGACTGCTGGCTGTTCCCTCTCCTCTAAATGTTCGGCTAACTGAATGAATCTTTAATCGTGTTTAGTGTTGCTGCTCTTCCTTTCTCTTCCTCTCTGTGTTGTTGGACTCTGGCCAGTGAATCTAAGTGCTCAGACAGTGAAGCTAACAGGCTCTTTACTGTCTCTGAGGGCAAAGCTTTGATTTCTTTATATAGAAAATAAATTAGACATAACTAAACATAATTCAAATCATTTAGTTTCCCTTACATGATATTTTCTGCTGGCTAATTATTGGATTTGCATATTTAATACAATCAGCTGATCTCCGAGTGGATTTTTTCCCCCATGTATTTCTAGACTTTTCCTGTGTTTAAATCTAAGAAATAAATAAATGAATATTTTTTTAAATAATCAGCATCATTAAATTAACTGATACATTAGCCAAACAAAAAAGATAATGATTTTCCAAAAAATTACAGAGTTAAATTTAATTAATTAATTTTTTATTAATAATTAAATAAATGTTAAGTAAATAAAGTTTAGGGACCAGAAGGTTTGAGACTTGCTGATTGCTAAATGTCTTATGTGATTAAAGTACACATTAACAGAGGCTGTGTTTGATTTTTGATTTTGACTCTGTGCTCAAATTAAATCGGACTAATTGCAGAGACGATGGCGAGCTGGTAACTGTGTGCTGAGCAAGCTCCCAGGAGTCCCGGCGGTTTCCGCTAAAACGGCATCCTGATACTGCTGATAGATAAAGGTCCATTCAGGAGGAAGCTGAAAGCTAATGGAGCCTCAGCAGCTAATTTATTACAACATTACAACATTAACACGGGGGGGGGGGCAGATAGCAGCTCAGAGACAGGAAACAGCTGCTGAAGGAGGTGATGATGATGATAGTGATGACTGACAGAAGGACTTCCCTCAGAGTCTTCACACACGGACACTTGCTTGTCAGTTTGCCTTTCAGGAGACTAGAGGCCTCATGTGAACAAGAAGCCGACCAAGGTAATGCCACAAAAAACTGCGTGCATGGTGCACCGTGCAAACAGTAAAATGTATAAGTTCCTACGCTGCCACTTTCAGCCGTGTCCATCAAGCGATTTTTTTCTGACGCCAGCATCTTTTTTCAATTCATTGCAATGGGAGCGCCAGCAGCGTGACGAGGCGCTGAGCGTCTTTTCCTGGTCACCGAGAGTTGAGTTTTTACCCAGCCGTCCAATCACTGTGCAGGAGCAGCGGGACAAACACCGCACCCAGCACATCCCATCTCGAACAAAACGATGTGCCTACTCGTCGAGGTGTTTCCTCGCACGCAAAATTTCATGAACCCACGTACGGAGTCTGTCCCCTCATGTTTCATCCGTCTCTTCATGCAGAGCAAGTAGGCCTACGTACTTTGTGGGGACATTTTTACATTCAGTAAAATTCGCCTAAGTAGGCTAGTCTACTTGCAGCACATCACCTCCACGGAAATTATGTATCATAGCAACCACAGTGTCTTTCAAAACGCACCCTAGCGCTCCCAGCTTGGCGTTTTCAGAAGAGCAGGTGGCGTTTCCAGCTCGTAACGCCGGCCCTGAGCACTGATCCATATTTCTGCTGTGGTTATTTAAATTACTTCAAACGATTACTTCCTCTGTAGAAAATCCTGCAACATCGCTCCGGCCTGCGTTCAATACGTGCTATCTCCAAGTTCATAAAAAAACCTACAGTTTTCAAGTTTGAGGTCAGTATCGGTCCGTCCTTGAGGTCTGAAGTGAACCCTGGTTTGTGACGTTCCTCGAAAGCAGTCTGGAGGAAAATGGTTCGAGCACACGGAGAACAGGTTCCAGTTGTTGTCCACTTGCGATGGGGGAGAACATGAAGACTGTTGGTTCTTGCAGCCGTTACAGAACTTTGGGCTTTGCTCACTTCCAGATCTTGTTACCAGAGTCTGCGTTAGTGAGGAGATAACACTAACTAACAGACAGCGAGGCTGACTCACTCTTTGTAACATGAAATAAAATGTTATCATTTGTAGATTGAACCGTTGCATTGTCAGGGCGTTTGTGGCCCTTTGGACCACCTACTTCCAACGCTCATGATGTCAGATCGATGTCAGATCGATGTCAGATGACGTAGTAAAAGAGGCGCCAAACAAACTAGTTTTTCATGTTTCCAGTGTGAAACTAATAATCAGCATTGACAGTTTTAACTTCTGTTAATAGTTACATAACTACTGTGCTTACTTCAACACAAACCTAACCAAGTAGTTTTGATGCCTGAACCAAACTGAGCATTTCACCACATTAACCAAATGTTTTATTTGTATGTGTTGCATATTTATTCCTGCAAACTTGACCACGGAGTCCTGCAGGTGCAAAAACAGCACCAAAGGGTACCAGAGACGGTTACAGAGCGTCTTTGTGGGGGGGGGGGTTAAAATGGAAAATAGTTTGAAAGTTCCAACAATAGGTGGTTGAGGGTGAAGACGAGGGGAAACAGAACACTTTGTTAATATATTAATATTATAAATGAGTTTCTGATCAGTGATAATCTAATTATAACAACAATAAAAGTACTTTCGTGTCTCTCGGCTGAGACATCGACACACAGGAAACGCACTGAACTCTGAGGATGAAACTGACCTGCTTCCTCTCTTTATTTTCAGAGTGTTTAAGAAAGCCAGTCCCAATGGAAAGGTGAGTCTCTTCTTCATGTTCAACCTGGTCAGACTCAAACTGACTCTGACTCAAACTGACTCTGAATCAAACTGATTAAAACTGACTCAAACTGACTCAGACTGACTCAGACTGACTCAGACTCAGACTGACTCAGACTCAAACTGACTCAGACTCAAACTGACTCAAACTGACTCAGACTCAAACTGACTCAGACTCAAACTGACTGAAACTGACTCAGACTCAAACTGACTCAGACTCAAACTGACTCAAACTGACTCAGACTCAAACTGACTCAGACTCAAACTGACTGAAACTGACTCAGACTCAAACTGACTCAGACTCAAACTGACTCAGACTCAAACTGACTCAGACTCAAACTGACTCAGACTCAGACTGACTCAGACTCAAACTGACTCAAACTGACTCAGACTCAAACTGACTCAGACTCAAACTGACTCAAACTGACTCAAACTGACTCAGACTCAAACTGACTCAAACTGACTCAGACTCAAACTGACTCAGACTCAAACTGACTCAAATTATTCCCCCTGCCCTAATAAAAGTATGTGAATACCTGAGATAAAGTTGGTGGACACTCAAGAAGAAGCAAACTCAGTTTGTGGCTTTTTGTTCCCTCCTCAGCTCACTGTCTATCTGGGAAAGAGAGACTTTGTGGACCACGTGGACCTGGTGGAGCCTGTCGGTGAGATCAGGATTTACTAATATTCATTAGTTTAGTTCCTGCGGTTGGCTGGTCTGTGAAAGCAGCTGGCTGCAGGTAAAAATCCGCCGTTGACTTTCTGACTCTTCTTCCTGCAGATGGCGTCGTCCTGATCGACCCGGAGTACCTGAAGGAGAGGAAAGGTGGGGAATCTGAACATGTTTATACAGGAAGAGAATATTATAATATTAAATATATACATATTTCCTAAAAAAAAAGGATTTTCATCAAAACACTTTGTCGTCACGTTCCTCCATTTTCTAGCTTTTGGATCTAATGATAAACGTGTCTTTAACTGCTCGTCTGTTAGAAGGTTGCAGTGTGTGTGCGCAGGTTGAGGACTCAAACGCAGGACGCCAGAGCTCACAAACCAGCGTCAGAATCAACAAGTCCAACAAAAACAAAGTAATGCACCGACAAGGCTGAACAGAAACACAGGCGTTAAATAGTGAGGCAAAGTAAAATAAGCTAAACATCAGAACAAACAAGGCTGAACAGTGGAAACACAAGACACTAAATCTAAATCCATGAAAACAGGAAAAAACATGAACACAACCCAAAGTCCTAACATCGTCTTATATTTCTATTTATCCAATCATGGATCCTTCAATTAGCAAATACCGTATTGGTCTGAATATGAGACGACACCCCACCAAATCTTAAATAGAAAATAACTCTAATTAAAACACTTTGACTAAAATAAAACAAGGTAGTTTTTGTTTTTAACATCTCTTTTCAATATATTTTTTAATGAAATTGTCACATTTAAATTACTGCTAAATAAAAGGTAATCACATTTGTAAATGAATGACTTGTGATATTTACAGTAAATATAAAAAATTTAAATAAAGTGTCTTCTGGTATTTCTAACACCAGTTAGGCTTTATATCTCCCATCTCCCATATCAAAATGTCAATAACAGCATTATCCATCAAAGTCAAGTATAATTGACCCTTCGCTAAGCCACGCCCCGAATACACAGCTGGCCCAGCGCAGTGTAGGTCTCGCTCGTTTTCTAGCTTTTTCTGGCTGTTTTTCTAAGATCTGGTCAAACGTTGTTCCTGCAGCATCTTGTAATAATTACAGCAGCTACCAGAGAGGCTGAAAGGAGAAGGACGATTTATTCTCTTTCCAAAACCTAAAATAAATCCAGAAAAATGTCGGCTGTGGATTGTTCTTAATGTGATTTTTGTGTTCTTAGTGTTAGTTAGCTAACGCTGGCTAACTTCCTACTGAATGTAACGTAATAAAGTCCTGCTGTTCTGCTTTTTAATGACTGTAATAATGAACAGAGGCCGACCAGCTGTACAGGAACACTGTTGATCCTTAATGTTGTTGTCTTTTGTCTCAGTTGTCGGGGGATGCGGTGGTTCACTTGTACTGTGTGATCGGCAGGCTTTAGCTTCTATCTTTAATTTTTTTCACGTCCGTTTGAGTCAGTTTGAGTCTGAGTCAGTTTGAGTCTGAGTCTGTTTGAGTCTGAGTCAGTCTCAGTCAGTCTGAGTCTGAGTCAGTCTCAGTCAGTCTGAGTCTGTTTGAGTCTGAGTCTGTTTGAGTCTGAGTCAGTCTGGGTCAGTTTGAGTCTGAGTCAGTTTGAGTCTGAGTCTGAGTCAGTTTGAGTCAGTCTCAGTCTGAATCAGTCTGAGTCAGTTTGAGTTTGAGTCTGAGTCAGTCTGAGTCAGTTTTAGTCAGTTTGAGTCTGAGTCAGTTTGAGTCAGTTTGAGTCTGAGTCAGAGTCAGTCTGAGTCAGTTTTAGTCAGTTTGAGTCTGAGTCAGTTTTAGTCAGTTTGAGTTTGAGTCAGTTTGAGTCTGAGTCAGTTTGAGTCAGTTTGAGTCTGAGTCAGTTTGAGTCAGTTTGAGTCTGAGTCAGTTTGAGTCTGAGTCAGTTTGAGTCTGAGTCAGTTTGAGTCTGAGTCAGTTTGAGTCTGAGTCAGTTTGAGTCAGTTTGAGTCTGAGTCAGTTTGAGTCAGTTTGAGTCTGAGTCAGTTTGAGTCTGAGTCAGTCTCAGTCAGTCTGAGTCTGTTTGAGTCTGAGTCTGTTTGAGTCTGAGTCAGTCTGGGTCAGTTTGAGTCTGAGTCAGTTTGAGTCTGAGTCTGAGTCAGTTTGAGTCAGTCTCAGTCTGAATCAGTCTGAGTCAGTTTGAGTTTGAGTCTGAGTCAGTCTGAGTCAGTTTTAGTCAGTTTGAGTCTGAGTCAGTTTTAGTCAGTTTGAGTCTGAGTCAGTTTGAGTCAGTTTGAGTCTGAGTCAGTTTGAGTCTGAGTCAGTTTGAGTCAGTTTGAGTCTGAGTCAGTTTGAGTCAGTCTGAGTCTGAGTCAGTTTGAGTCTGAGTCAGTTTGAGTCAGTTTGAGTCTGAGTCAGTTTGAGTCTGAGTCAGTCTGAGTCTGAGTCAGTCTGAGTCAGTTTGTTTTTTTATTTTTTTGTTAGTCATTGTTCATGTGTCAGGATGTGTTTGTTTGTGTTTTTTCCCGTCAGTGTTCGTGACTCTGACCTGCGCGTTCCGTTATGGTCGTGAGGATCTGGACGTCCTCGGGTTGACGTTTCGGAAAGACCTGTTTGTGGCGAACATCCAGGCGTTTCCTCCGCTGCCCGAAGAGAAGAAGAGTCTGACTCGTCTTCAGGAACGGCTGATTAAAAAACTGGGGGAACACGCCCACCCGTTCACCTTCGAGGTACTGAGCCTGCAGAGACATGTTCATCTGCCAAACTGTGACAGAGTTTCATTATTTATTTATTCACAAATCATCAAGGACTTGTTGCCCTGAATTCACCCTGTCAGGCAGGAGTTCCTCCAAATGACACTCAGTAATGAGATGGTCAGTCTCAGGTTAGACATGGTTCCTGAGATTTTAATAGGTGGAGCTTGTGTGGATCATACCTGGAACGGGAGGACACACTGCCTGCAAAGACGATATCAGGGCAAACAAACCCCAGGGAGGGTTTAAATACTTTTACTGTAAGGTTTATTTTAGGTGTTAAAGTTTCATTGTTGTATTTTTTATCTTATTATTTGGAGGGAACACATAATTCTCATATTTAGTTAACTGTTGCAGTTATCCAGCCATCAGTATCCATTAATCAGGTTAGTTGTAGTTTAGTGCTGATCAGGACTTCAGTGTGTTATTATCAAACCCGATCGTCACATATACACGCTTTGGAAAAACCGTGGCTATTAACAGCGATTTTGCGTGTGTATGATACGCTGCAGTTTGCAATAGCGTTGCAACACAAAGGAGGCAGCTGTAGGGTTAGTCGGTCGACATGCATATATTTAATGACTTAGGTTTAGGCACTAATTTCTGTGACCGTTAAGGTTAGGGTAAGTTGCCTCGGGGGGGCTGTCAACTCCTTAAACACAAGCATCGCTAGCTACTTAGCGACTGGAAGCACTTCTAGCATTTCCCCGGGGTGTCATATGCACACGCAGCCTGGATGTGTCTCATAAACAGACAAACAAACCTGGGGGCGTATCTTACGTTCAATAGCCACGTTTTTTCCAAAGCGTGTTTATGTGACGCCTGAGCATGAGAACAGGCTGCATAATCTCAGGAGTTTTGTACTTCCTGTTTCCTCATGAGGTTGTTCCTCTCAGCTGAGAGAAAAAGAGCCATTTTTCACACCAGGAACTTTTTCAGGAATTCAGAACGCTGCAGAAACCAGGGTCTAAATTTAGTTCCTCACCTCAGCTCAAGAGCTGCTCTGGGTGTTTGCAAAGGACTGTGTTAGTGTAGAAATACTCTGTCACAAGGAAAAGTCCTGCATTCAAAACTGTACAAGAATATTACCATTATTTTTATATATATCATATTATTGTATCAAAATGATGAAGTCATTCTTGTGTTCATCACTTTAAAGATGACTGTAAAATCTGTTTCCCTCTGAGGATCACTGACGTTTTGTTTTGTAAAAATTAGTGCTGAGCACTTTTTTCTATCTATTGTTATGCATAAACTTGAATAATGAATTCTATAGTGTATTGCGCACTTGTAATTTAATGTACTGCTATATACACAAAAGTTTAATAACATGTGGTTTGCAAACTCTTTAAACAAATCAGGCGCTTGTTCCCAGCAGTATTCCCTTTACACAGCAGCAATAAAATATTTCTTGTAAATCTCAACTTAAACATTAATGTAAACAAATCAAATATTAAACCAAAGCTGTTTGCCGCTGCCAGCGCATTACCTTTTATCTAGCTTGGTAAAACAAGTTGGAGTCCAGAGCCACGATCAGAACATCAGAACAGGCTCCTGCTGTGCAGCAGGTGAACAGATAGAAATCTGTTTTCAGGTATCAGCTGGAAAATTTTTCTTTGATCAGGGAGCAGCAGAAACAGTCTGTTTGAGGTGAAGTGCTCACCTCAGCACACACCCGCCCGTCGCCGAAGTTGAATTGTCTAGAACTTTTTGTAGCCTACGCAAAGCGCCACTTCGCTGCGGCGTTTGATCACTTGTCTTGCTTTTGTTTATCTGCTTCTCCCACACGCTTCCCTCCACTGCTGGTTTGGGAGGCTGATTTGCAGGCTGATCAAAAATATTTATCTCTGTGTTGTAGTGGAGTAGACGTGGAAAGTGAAACTTAAATTTAAAGGAAGATTTTACACTACTTGAGTAAATGTACTGATCACTTTCCACCACTGCCAGAGGAAGTAAAGGGAGAAGATGACTGAACAGGGAGTGAAAACTTTATTTAAAGCAGTTACGCACTGTAGAGGCAGACGGGGACGGTACGTGGGCCTTTTAGTTCCTGAAACATTTTGGGTGAAAAGAGAAGAGAGGACACAGAGGGACAGGTCAGCTGGTATCTGCTGGTTACCCTCTCAGGCAGATGTTTTTCCTTCGTGTGTTTTCAGATTCCTCTGAACCTGCCCTGCTCCGTCACCCTGCAGCCGGGCCCAGAAGACACCGGGAAGGTAAAGGCACTCAGATTGTCAACTTGTCTTCCTCCTGGGCATCTCATGCATCCTTTCTTCTTAGCTGAAAAAGAAGTCAAACACTGAGAGATGATCTTCTTGCTGTCTTCAGGCCTGCGGAGTGGACTTCGAGGTGAAGGCTTTCTGTGCAGAAAACGCAGAAGAAAAGATCCACAAAAGGTAAAAGCTGCAGTTCGACCCATAAAGAGATGAATTATGGATGAAATGAAATCACTCGTGCATTAGCAGCGTCCTGCGCAGAGAGGCAGCAGTCATACGTCCAGACTGTTGTTGTTGCAGGAACTCTGTGCGTCTGGTGATCCGGAAGGTGCAGTACGCTCCGGAGAAACCAGGTCCTCAGCCGACGGCGGAAACCACCAGGCAGTTCCTGATGTCGGACAAACCTCTGCACCTGGAGGCCTCTCTGGACAAAGAGGTAACACCTGAGTGCTACACACAGAAAGCTGAACCACACCTGCACACTCCAACCAGAGCCGAGGAGGGAAACCGGCAGAATCTGGACGTACACGGCCCCTGTAACACATAAACTATCCCGTCAGTGTGTCGCCATAAAAGCAGAAGCAGAGCCAACGCTGTTTTAAAAGCTGCATCAATCATTTATGTTGGGAGGTAGCCAAACTACAAAAAGAAACTGCTGGCTGTCGGCACGGAGAGCAAGCAAGCTCAGATTAGTCATGAATCAATCAGACGGCTCGAACCGAGGCCACAACATAGAAAAGGGCCTCAAATCAAGCCCGGCCCGTTAGCTTATCAGAGTTCTAACACAGCCTCTACTACTCTCGCAGTCATGAAAACAGTTTTGTTTCTAATGGAAAAGTGGTTCTATTTTTTTGTTTCTTCATTAAGTTGATTTAGAACTGTGTTTGCTAGATTAATGTTTTTGTTTGGTGAGTTACGACCAAGCGGCCTGCGGCCAACAGTGAGTTGACAATCAATTAATCCTCTCAAATCAAAACTTGATTTGCCTACAGTAAAAGTCATAGATTTAAAAGCCATTAAGCCATGGTTTGTTGCCCCCCAAAGAGGTTTTAGCGAGCAGCAAATGAAAAGCACGGCGCCAAAATGATCAAATGTAAATGCTCCCGTATTTGCGCCTTCCTAGTCTTTGCGAAGACTCAAAGCACTTTTACGCTACATCTGCATTCACCGTTCACACACATTCACACACTGGCGGAACAGCCACCAGGAGCAATTCAGGGTTCAGTATCTTGCCCCAAGGACACTTCAACATGCAGCCTGGAGGAGGTGGGGATTGAACCGCCGATCTTTCGATTAACACACAACCCGCTCTGACCCCTGAGCCACAGCCGCCCGACGTTTGAAATATTCTCTGAATGTGTTTTAATAGCCATTTATAAAACATGAACTTAAATACGACGCCTCTCTTCTCATCCACAGCACTGTTTTTTACACATGCAGCAGTTTGACTGCGCCTGAACGCTCTGATACGAAGCTCGCGCTAATGGTAGAGATGACTTCCTGTTATTTCTCCCAATATAAATTTCTCAATAATATGTATGAACTCGTTCTGTGTGCACAGTTTTTATTACTGACAAGTTAGTAATTTGCATAAACAAATCAGCGTCTGAGCACCATGTAGAGCATTTTTTTTCTTGCACGATCATTTAATGACCCACAAAAATGAAACTGCTGTTATTATATTATAGGCTACTAATGGTGAGCTATAGTAGCCTGTGCTATTATCTGAAATTATAATGAATACACAAACATTAGCACTAATCAAACCTTAACCACAGTGGTGTAGGCTAATGTCAGAAAATGGTTTTATTAGTGAAACAGCTGATTCTCAACTAATAAACTATCTGTAGGCAGATTATCCAAAAGTGTAATATGTAAATATATTATTATACTAACATTATACTTTCTATTTAATATTTATAGGTATAATATTTACTAATACACATTTATACCTTTACATCTCCAGGTTGTGGATATTTTGTTTATCAAAGGTCAGTAATTACAAGAAAATGCACAGATTTTACTGTACGCATACCATTCTGAACCAGGAAAAACCCTGCTTTAAGCATATCAGAATATTAGTTTAAACATTTATTATCACTTGTAAAAAGGCATTTTTGACAGGCTGAGGCAGGCTGCTGCTCGCAGCGGTGTGGGGGAAAACAATCAGGCTACACAGTCTTAAGAAATGAAAATAAAATAAAGTGTGTCAGTGTGATTATAAAACATCTTTCTATCTTTGTTTTACATACTCCAACTTCTCAATTAATGGATATCTAAAACATTAAAAGGAGAAGCCTAATACAGGCCAGATGCCCGGCCTGCGTGTGAGCTGTGACGTGAAAATTTGCCCGATGTCCGACCCCGGGGGCGTAAAGAAGTAGGGCCCGTCGGGCTGAAATGCAGGTCTCAGATGGTAGAGTGCGAGCCACATGTACTGAGGCAGCGGCTGCATGTCACTTCTCTCTCTGTCCCACATTTCCTTCTCCACCTGATTAAGGCAAGACACAGCCGGCAGAAACCCCAAACCATAACAAGATCAACTAAACTTACAGAAACACAAAACCAAATCCTTTAAAACAGAAAAAAAACATGAACACAACCCAAAATCCAAACAAGAGGTGGATTCATTTTACATTTATTAATTTAGCTGACGCTTTTATCCAAAGCGACTTACAATTGCTGTACATGTCAGAGGTCTCACGCCTCTGGAGCAACGAGGGGTTAAGAGTCTTGCTCAGGGACACAATGGTGGATGTGTCACAGTGGGGGATTGAACCCGGGTCTCTCACAGCAAAGTCTTATTCACTGCTGCATCACCCCCCATAGACAGTACATTACTGGACGAAGCCGCCCCACAGATTTTAATGGAGAGAAGAAGAAGGTACTTTAATGTCACATACACATAGCAAAATTCATTCTCTGCATTTAATCCTTGCCTCAAGGCAGCAGTGGGCAGCCGCTGTGCAGCGCCCGGGGACCGACTCCAGATCTTTATCAGTGCCTGGTCAGTGGCACTGACTGGAGAACCTAACATGGTTTTTGGCGGTGGGGGAAACGGGCGCACCCGGAGGAAACCCAAGCAGACAAGAGGAGAACATGCAAATTCCACACGGAAAGGCCAGGAAGACCGGGGTTTGAACCATAGCAACTGTGCTATCCACTGGACCACTGTGCTGCCCTTTTTTTATTTTAAAGAAGATACTTAGTGGAGCCAGTTTTGGACCAATAAAATGCTTCTACAGGGCGTCTATCGCGCAGCACAAGCATGGTTTAATGACGTAGGGCAGCGGCAGAAACACTGTAAGTCTGTTAGCTGCATAGCTGCGGCAGCAGAAAGTCTCATGGCTCAGTGGGTTTGTCTGACCCGGATCATGACTGATTAATTGGCCCACCTACAAGGCTCATCTGTCAAAGACCAACGCAGCGTCACTGATGGCGCCCTCCATGCAGGCTTTGGTCGGCTTCACTGTTACCCCCTTGGGAACAACATAGAAGCATACGCTTGTTAAGCTAAGCTTGAAATCTGATTGGCTAGCGTCGAATTCTGACAATGTGATGCCTCATGTGACGTTTCCTGGTTTAGCTTTCCGTGGGGGTGTCTGTCTTTTTCTGTGTGTTTTGTGTGTAGAAGTGTGTCTGTTCAGACAAGCTGTTATCAGTTTCTTTGTGTTTGAGATGTTAGTTATATTGTTGGTATTAAGAATTTGATTCGATATTGACTCTGTAATTACTGATTTTTAATGAAAATGTTTCAAATTTACAATACTTATCTTTATAGGCCGTTTTCTCAAAATGAGTTTTTCCTTTCTTACTGAATATATTCTGAAGGTTGCTACAGAGGGGTTTGTTAATATACCATTCACAGCCTAAATTATAGAACATTTATTCCCAAAAACAGGTCAGAAATGTTTTTTTTATGCATGTTGACGGTATTTTTTGATTTCTGAAATAATAAAAAGAGATATCCAAAATCCCATTTCACAAAATGAAACATCAGATGTTTTACAGGGAAAATGACTTCAACCTGCAAAATAGTTTAAATCAGCTGTCAATCATCATCTTATCACAGGATAACGGACCTCTCTGTTCTGCTGTCTCTCAGATCTACTATCACGGGGAGCCAATCAGTGTCAACGTCCACGTCACCAACAACACCAACAAGACCGTGAAGAAGATGAAGATCTCAGGTACCTCGGAGCACCTGTCCTCTCTCTCTCTCTCTCTGTTTTTCTGTGTAGCTGATGACAGATTTGTGTTTCTGCAGTGCGACAGTACGCAGACATCTGCCTCTTCAACACGGCTCAGTACAAATGTCCGGTGGCCACCGAGGACTCAGAGTGAGTTTCATTTCTCTCAAGCTTAATTTGTTATGTCGCACAGAAATAGTTGTCATGCAATGAGAATCAAAATCAGAAGGAGCTTTATTGCCAAGAAGTGTTTTACATGTATGAGGAATTTGCTTTGGTCATAAGGTGGTACACGTAGATAAACATACAGTTGACATAAATAAATGTAGAAATATATAAATATGGAATAAACAGATGCAAGTTATAAAAGAATAATAAAAGAATAAAACCAAAAAAATAATAGAACTATGTGCAGGGAAAGAACAAAGTGGGAGATATTTACATGTGCATTACTCCGGTTTGTGTTGTGCAGACAAATTGCAACAGAAGAGAATATTGTGAACATAAATGTGACCCTGAGCAAGACACTTAACCCCTAGTTGCTCCAGAGGCGTGCGACCTCTGACATGTATAGTAATTATAATGTAATGTTAATGAGGCTAGCTGCAGAAGGGTAGAAACTGTTTTTGTGGCGAGAGGTTTTGGTCCTGATGGACCGTAGCCTCCTGCCGGAGGGGAGAGTCTGACAGTTTGGGCCTTTCCGAAACTGCTTGCTACTCCCTCCTCCCTACTTACTTCCACTCCGTTTGTGCATTCATGAGGAGGGTCCGCCACATTGAGTGGCATCCGAAACCAGTAAGGGCGGAGTGGTAGTGGGTTGTTAAACACTCAGATGCCAAGTGAGCACCGATGCTGGCTTGTTGAAGGTGTGTAACACCCTTTGCTGCACGATGGGGGACCTTTCTGTACATGTAGGATTTTTTAATTCCGAAACTACACTAACATTTCTTATCTGAATCTTAATACAACTGTTAATTTGATACACGTATTATAGCAGTGAATAGGCCTAGGCTACAGCGTTAACACCAGATCCTATTTATGCTGGGGGGAGAGGGTAGTTCGTCTGAAAGTTGTCCACTGTATGTAAACCCCACGCAGTTAGGGAGCTCGAGTTGGCTGTGAGGGTGACTCCGACCAGAGTTCACTCCGTGTCGGAGTGGAAGTGACGAGGGTCTAGTTTCGGAAAGGCCCTTTGTTTCCAGGGTGCTTGCTTCAGAGTCCTGGAGGCGTACAGTTTCTGAAGTGATGGAAGATTGCAGCCAATCACCTTCTCTGCAGAGCGAATAATGCGCTGCAGCCTGCCCTTGTCCCTGGCGGTGGCAGCAGCGTACCAGATGGTGATGGAGGAGGTGAGGATGGACTCAATGATGGCGGTGTAGAAGTGCACCATCATTGTCTTTGGCAGGCTGAACTTCTTCAGCTGCCGCAGGAAGTTCATCCTCTGCTGGGCCTTCTTGGTGAGGGAGGTGAAGTTCAGCTCCCACTTGAGGTCCTGGGAGATGATGGTGCCCAGGAAGCGGAAGGAGTCCACAGTGGTGATGGGGGAGTCATGTAGGATGATGGGGGAGGGTGGGGCTGGGCTCCACGACCATCTCCACTGTCTTCAGAGCGTTGAGCTCCAGACTGTTCTGGCTGCACCAGGTCACCAGATGGTCGATCTCCCACCTGTAGGCGGACTCATCCCCACCTGAGATGAGCCCAATGAGGGTGGTGTCATCCGCAAACTTCAGGAGCTTGACAGACTGGTGACTGGAGGTGCAGCTGTTGGTGTACAGGGAGAAGAGCAGGGGGGAAAGAACGCAGCTGCTGATGGTCCTGGAGTCAGAGACATGTTTTCCCATCTTTATGTGCTGCGTCCTGTCTGTCAGGAAGTCAGTGATCCACCTGCAGGTGGAGTCAGTCACGTTCAGCTGAGAGAGCTTGTCCTGCAGCAGGGCCGGGTTGATGGTGTTTAAAAGCAGAAACAGGAAACAGGATCCAGTATCATTACCACAGAGGTCAGGGGGACGGGTCTGAAGTCGGTCAGTCCTGTGGTCCTTGGTTTCTTGGGGACAGGGATGATGGTGGAGGCTTTGAAGCAGGCTGGCACATGGCATGACTCCAGTGAGGTGTTAAAAATGTCTGTGACCACCGGCGACAGCTGATCAGCACAGTGCTTCAGGGTGGATGGGGAGACAGAGTCCGGCCCAGCTGCTTAGCCAGGGGTTTTGCTTTCTGAATAGACTGTCGACATCCCTCTCTTAGATGAGGAGAGGAGGGGAGGGGCTGGAGCTGAGCTGAGGAGTCACGGGGGATGGTGTCCGATTGATTCTCGATGCAGCAGTACAACTGGTTCAGCTCATTTGCCAGGCGAGAGTCGTTGATGGAGTGGGGAGGGCTTTGGGTTTGTAGTTTGTCATCTGTCTGAATCCCCTCCAGACAGAAGTGGCGTCACAGCAGAGAACTGGTGTTGTAGTCTCTTTGAGCACAGTAGTTGAGCTTCTCGCACCTCCTTGCTAAATCTGTACTTTAACGCCCTGCACCCGGCTCGGCCCCCACTCCTAAATGCCTCCTCCTTTTCCAACCTTAGCTGTCCGAGTTTGGCTGTGAACCAGGGTTTGTCATTGTTATAACTCACCCTGGTCCATGATGGTACACAGCTTTCCTCGCAGAAACTGATGTAGGACGTAGATGTTCACATTGTTCTGAGCAATCTCAGGACTTCTCTATGTGACTTGTTCAGGGCGTGATTTGTTAATGATTTCTTTAACATCCATGTGACATCCATAAAATGCTAAAATAATTGAATCAGTTGAAAAAGTGACCATAAAGATGTTTTTCTGTCTTCAGCGATATCGTTTCTCCCAGTTCGACTTTCTGCAAAGTTTTTACTCTCACTCCATTTCTGGCCAACAACCGAGAGAAACGAGGCCTCGCTCTGGATGGAAAACTGAAGCACGAGGACACCAACCTGGCCTCCAGCACACTGTGAGTCCAACAGCTCTTGTGATGCCTTCAAGGCCTAAAGGAGGCCACTCCTTCATGTCAGAACTGGATGTTTGAAGATCAGGGAGATTATAGGATATTTGTAGATATTTTAGGGGCATTTGAGACACTTTTCATGTACAATATTAACATTATTAGCTTAATTAATGAATTTGACTCTTGTATCATCAGGAGTTGAATCGAGTGTTAACCTTGCTCTGATCCACACTCGCAAAACTTGTTACATGAAGACTGTTGAAAATGCAAACTCACAAAATAAAAAAAAAAGTCAACCTTCTTTCAGTTCATCATCCATGTACGTTGTAACGGTCAGGGCAGCATGTATGTGCAGACGTACGTGCCAACTTACATGAATGTAAACCAGCTGCACTCAGTGTCGCATAAGCTGAACCACATGCATGCATCTGTGGCCCCTAAGGTGAAAATAAATTGACCTCTAATATCGTTACTGTTTCAAATTGGACGACCCAGGCTCTTGGGGATGGCAATCAAGGCCTGTGACACCAATAGTAAACCCATGGGAACCAACAATTCCCCAATATTATTGATATAACCACCAGCTTCTATCCTCTTAAAGGTGCATATATATATATATAGAGGATAGGGGGGACTTCCCATTCAATTTAATAGTAAGTTTTATCACAACAGCATCTAGTGGACGTTAGAGGAACTGCCCGGCTTCTGATTGGTCTGGCTGAATGTTTTTCAGGTTAAGAGAAGGAGCCAATAAGGAGATCCTCGGCATCATTGTGTCCTACAAAGTCAAAGTGAAGCTGGTGGTGTCTCGAGGCGGGTCAGTGTTCAACTCAACATGTTTTACTATGTTTTGAAAATGTGAAAATATGCACATCAGCTGTGGTGTCGTTAGTTAATATTTTCTCACAAAAAAAAGTGACTAGAAAGTAAATTTGGGTTTGACTTTAAAGCTCAGCTTCAGTGTGAATCTGTTTCTGTCCATCACTGCAGACGCTTTTTTCAACTTTGATCAAGCCAACAGATCATTGCTGTTTTATAAATATGTAAATTTCCTTCAAGTAAAGAAGAGATAAGCAGCTCAGCCTCCACACCAATGCAGCACAAATGTTGAAATAAAAAACACCTTTCAGTTGGTTGGACACTTTTGACTCAAAGGTCATCGTGACCTCAAAATAGGTTTTTTAGACAAAATTAATTTGGGGATCTAAAATCGTGTAACACATGGGTTAGGGGCGTTCATTGGTTGTTGCTTATGTTCATTTCAGATTACTTGTGTTTGATTGGCGTAGATATGTAGGGGGTGGGCTATAAGGGATTGGAGTCGGGAGCAGTCAAGTCGTGCTTGGAGTACCTGGACTGTTTTTAGCATGTAGCTAGCTAGCTACCACCGAAACGTGCATACCGCTCAACCCCCGGGCTTCTCCCGTATTTTACCGTTCTCTCCTGATGTCCTCCCGTTAAAACATTTCCCTGTAAATTCCACATTTATTTATACCCGCTGTTTGCTACGTTCAGCTCTGTTAAAGCTGGTGGCAGCATGTAGAACAGCTCTGTAACAGTGAAGGGAAGTCAACAGCAACCGCAAATAAAACAAGAAGAAGAAAAGCAGCGCAACGGGTGCAGGACGGATGATGCATTGCTAAACAGAGCATTTCACATGCATTTGCCCCTAAAATAGATTCGTGCGAACTACAAAAATTATTTATGATGTGCGAGAAATAACTGCAACCTATGGACATTTTTGTGCAGAAACGGTTAAATGCTTAAATACTGGATTTAAGAGTGAGCATTTTATAAGTTTATAAAACAATTTACTGTTATGTCTTAAGTACACTTAATAGCAATAAATAAACTCCCTGTAGGAGTCTGAACGGACATGGATGTAAACTGTAACTTGACTGGTTGGTGTGGCGGGGATACTTTGTGTTTTAGTTGCTGTTTGGAAATTAATAGGCCTTATTCACCCTGAGACATTTGGATGCACTGATTATAAACATCCTCCGCCGTGCAAGTAAAGCTCCACAGCGTCCGCAGGGTGAACAGAAAACGAGTGCAGTCGTGTGCTCGGATCACACGGGAGCTGGCCTTTAACAGCTGTGTTACACCAGGAGGGTTAATGAGCTCATCAGTAGAAACACTGTGCTGCTGCTGCTGCTGCTGCTGCTGTTCATGAAGCTGATAAATGTTTATTGATTTCAGGCTCCTGGGAGATCTGGCAGCGAGGTAACCTTTCACGTTCTGTCACGTCAATGAGACCATTGCTGAACACACTGATACAAACCACACACTGAGATTTACGACGGTCACCTGAACATCTCACTGCTAATAGTCACACAAATGAATGTCTTTACTGAAGCTGTTGTGGACCGTCGGCGTATTGATGACCTGTAATACATCTGATGATCTGTTTTTTCAGTGACGTCTCCGTGGAGCTGCCGTTCACATTAATGCACCCGAAGCCGTTAGAAGAATCCATCTACAGAGACGGTGAGTGGCGTTCACTTCCCAGCAGTCTGTTAAAGACTCAGCTCAGCCCTTTATATCATACAAATCAGAGCGCCTGATATGACTGAAAGAACGCAGTCTTATTATAAAATAATTAAAGTGACATATTGGACAGAAAGTGATGAAGGAAACAGGTTTCAGAATAGTTTTGATAGTAAACAGCATTTAGGTTGTTGTGTATTAACATTTGCTGTATTCCAGATATTAATACGCTGCTGTAAATGAATCTTTGGGGTTCTGTATTTTGGCTTTTCAAATCTTTACCCTATAATAAATTCCCTGATAAAACAAAAAGTCCTTTTTGTAAATGTGTCTCGACTCGATAATGCAGAGTGGTGCAGAACCAGGTCAGACTGTGTGATGGAGTGCTCTCTCTCTCTTTCTCTCTCTCTCTCTCTCTCTCTGCTGCAGCTGCAGACGAAGCTCCCATCGACACAAACCTGATCGAGTTTGACACAAAGTAAGTCTCTCTCTCTCTTTCTGTCTCTCTCTCTGCCTGTCTCTCCCTCCTCATCAGCTCTGTGATCTGATTGGCTGTGCTCTGCTTTACGGCCCTGACAGCAGCGGGGTTTTCCTCCCCGCCTGCTGAAGCACTAACTGTCTCCGGAGTCTCAGCCTTAATGCGTCTTAATGCTCGCTGCAGGAAGTGGGCTGTGAACTGGAAACTCGCCCTGCTGTCAGAACAGCCACTCTGCTCTTTACAGCTTCTCATTTAACAACACACACACACATTTATTCATCAGCTGCAGAGATTAAGAACTGAAGGTGGAGTTTCTGTTTGAATGAACTCAAAAAAGAGACCAAAGCCACGTTGTGTTAGCTAACTGCTAATTGATTTGTAGAAAACCCTCTTAGAGTCATGGTAGTACAGCTTAATCTTGAGCTCTGACACCCCCGATACCAGGGGCAGCACGCGATTTCCAATTCATATCTGAAACTAGTATTGAATCACCACATCCATGCTACACACCTCTGTGAAGCTAGGAGGCTCAGCTACAAGCTCAAAACAACCATTTATATCTACACCAAACACCCATCAAACATCAAGCATCTAAATGAGCTTCTATCACAACATAAACCGCTCTGTGAGAACTGTACATGGCTGCAGTTATTGCCATCCAGTTATCTGTAATCACAACGTCTCCTCATGTCCAGCCTCTCAAACCAAAGCTCATCTCACATCACTCAAATCATCAAAATTACAGACTAATTAGCTGGATAAAAGTGACAACAAACGCGCCAATATACATATAATTACAACTGCGGTATCAAATGAAAGGTCTGCTCAATCCGGATCGATTGATGCCCCCCCATCACTGTGGGATGTTTCCATTCTCAACTTACACGCCTGTAAAGCATGGGAGTGCTTTTGGTCACAGGAATATTGATCAATATTCACAGTTTTTATCAGTATTTCAATGTTTTGGAAACTTTGTTATTTGGAACGTGGAAGTATGGAGAGAAATAGTGTTTTAAAGATAACTCCCAATAAAAGTCAACATTTAAACTGATTTTTTTAAAAAAGGATGATAACTGTATTTTAGTTCATTTTCATCAAATTTAAAGTTATAATTTCATTCCAGGTGTATTAAAATATATTTAGTTACATTATAATCTATCTGATGATGGTTTTGATGGTTTATTGCATTAAAAATATAACTTTTTTCTTTATTGCATCTCCATTAAGTCTGTAATGGTAATTTACAATGGATTCATATTCCTTAGCTTGTGGCCTTTCAAAGGAGACCAGAATTATGCATCTAGGCCAAGTGGTTGAGGAGTTTTTCCTGGAAATAGGTGGCGGTTTCCAACAGAACTGAACAACTGTTACTGTGCTGTTTAAAAAAGATATTAAACTGGCCTTCTTTAGACTAGTTGAGTATCTGGAGCATCATCAGTTTTGGGTTCCATCAGAGGCTCAAAACAGGCAGAAACAAAGAGCTATCTTCCTGAAACTCGTCAGTCAGTCATTGTTCTGAGAAATGAAGCTATTCTAGGAAAGAAACTGAAGATCTGGTACAATTCTGTGTAGTACTCCCTTCACAGAACAAACTGGCTCTAACCCGACCACAAAGAGGAGTGGGAGGCCCCGGTGCACTGAGCAAGATACAGATACATTAGAGAGTTTGAGAACCAAAAGCCTCACAGATCATCAACAGGCAGCAGCATTAGATAGTACCCAGAATACACCAGTCTCACCAGCAGCAATGAGGAGGCGACTCCGGGATGCTGCTGGCCTTCAGGGCAGAGCTGTCACTGCGCTTCAGACTTAAACACCGCATTCATCTGTCGTATCTCTACAACTCTGCGTTGTGATTTACAGAACTATTAATTTAAAAAGTAACAGCTGCAGTAAAGCAGTTCTTACACTATGATGGTTAAACATTGCAATGAATCCGGTGTTCACCTGCGTGCCGAACCCTGGATCCGTTACTCCCACGGTACCTGACGAGTTGTACGGTCCACGGTTGTTGCTTGTTTTTTCTGCAGCTCTTCCTCACTGCCGTCTTTACCAGCAGTTTAATACTGAAGCGTTCATTTAGAGCTCATTGATCAGAGAACTCCGGTTATACAGTGTGGTTAATCCACACCTTCCAAATATAGAAAATACAGACTGAGACTTGAAGATGTGTTTGCTGTGCGCGGTGGTCCCTCCTCCTTTAGATTTAGATTTTTATTCTAAATAAATCTGACGTTTTTGGAAGATCTCTTTTGATGGAACTGGTCTTTGTGCTGAGCTGGACCAAAACTCGTCTTGAACGTCACTCTGTAGATGATGAAGCATAGACATGAACCTGAGTCTGGAGAAATTGCGATCCAGAGACTTGTTTCTCTCTCTCTAAACCTGTTCTCCGCTCGCGACTCTGTCCTGGCAAATCGCTTTTTTATGTTTCGATGATAGTTTTGTTGTGAATTAACTTCCACAACCCTCTCCCTCCTTTCCCTCAGCGACGATGACATCATCTTTGAAGACTTCGCCCGCCAGCGGCTGATCGGCGCAAAGGACGACAAGGACGAAGACGAGGAGCCGGTGGACTCGCCCAATCTCAATGACAGATAAAGGCGCCGAGCGTTGCCGCCGCCACTGCTGCTGTTGTTGTTTCGCTGCTGTTTGTAGTGTGGAGCTAACGGAGGTCACCTTTAGGTCAAACCACAGTCCGGACACCCCTTCAACACCCGGTGGTGCCGTGTTTGTGTTCTCGTTCATGTTCGTCCTCTCTGCGTCCTGCCGGAGTGTAAAAAGCTAGAATACCGCAGCCTAGACGTCAGTTGTGTTTTCAGACGGAGCAGCCCTCCACTCCTCCGCCGGCCAGCCGGAGACGTGACCCGGCGAGCGCAGCATCGTAACGACGGCTGGTAGCATGCCTCTAATGTCACTTTGTTCTATGTGTTTCCATTAGGGACGAGCAGGAGTAACGTTGTGTTGAGATTAGTTTCGATGTATCAGCGGGTCTTCATAAACAACTACACTGCCAACTTTGGTTGATCTGGGACAGTTCACCACTCGAGCCACAACACGGACGCCAGCTGACGGAGGTCTTTGTTAACGGTCTGTGTGTAGACGAAGCGGCGGAGTGTGAAGAAACATCAGAGGAAGAGTCATCCATAGGGCGTACAGATCCGCCGAGAGGACCTGAAACTGTCCGAAAGAGCCGCCAATCAGCTGAGAGGAACTGGTGGCTCAATTTGCATGAAATACATCAACATTTCTATGATTTATTAATGTCATGAATAATCAAACTTTATAGAGGACGGCCCTGATTTTAAAGGAGTGTGTTTGTAGGTTTGTTTGTTGTTTCATGTTGATCATTTTCCAAATCAGCATCAGTATTTAGGTCGATGTCCTTCCCTCCAGTCAGCCCCTGCTATTACTTCACGTCTGTAAAAACTACTTGCAAAGAAATGATTCAGGCTGCGAATTTGACCTCAGCATGTCTGATGAAATGTGTCTGTAGAACAAAAGCTGTTAAGTGCAGAAAGCTGGCGTCAAATGTCTGCTCAGAGTCAGACAGTTAAAGAGGTCATATTCTGCTTTTTGGCTTCTCTCCTCTCCTTTAACGTGTTGTAAATGTTTTTTTGTGTGCATGTAACAGGTTTGCAAAGTGTAAAAGCCCAAAGGGAGTTCCCATCTCCCACAGAAAACTCTGCTCCTGATCTGAATACAGCTGGATTGTAGTCCAGCCTTCAGTAACCTCTCTGCGTCACCGTGTAACAAGCAGCGTGATGCTCGCCAAGCGGCTAGTGTGGCAAATACCGTTAGAGCCCCTCCAGGCAGTTACTGTGATGTAGAGACGGAGCTCAGGTAAAACTTTATGAAAGATAAACGTGTTACAGATTAATAACTCACCGCTCTGAAACTCTGGATCCAGTCTGGGTTCTGTCCTGGTTCTGGTGGTTCTGCCTGTGTTTCGGGATCAGGCTCGGGCTTGAACATGTACTTTTTTTGGTGGATCACACTACCTTGCTTGTGAGGACAAGTTGGGCAAGTTACTAATATATTATAGTTTCTTGTTACTCCTCAAAAAGTAATAATATTACTTTTACTAATTACTGGGTGATAAAAGCAACTACAGTATTTTTTAAAAAAACATAGGGCCTACAACGTTGCTTAACGCCGCTCTCTCAGACGAGTCCAAGCATCACTGGCAGTAGCGGCCGGAGTTTCTTTCTCCAAGTTTCACGTTGCTGTGCTGCTTTAGCAGATGCTTCAGTAAATCAGATGTACAATTGTTTGCAGTTGAAAAGACTGTGACAGAATAATGCCAGTAGCTACTTCCAGCTGTGGAAAGAATGCCTCTCTCCTTCGTTCTCCATTCTTCCTTTAGCTTTTTGGCTAACGGCTGACTTGAACAACATAAGGTCCAGTGCCACTGAGCTGCAGCGCAGTCGCGCACTCACGTCATGGATGGTGCGTTCAGTAGCGCAGTAACGCAGTGTTACTTGGATTAGTAACAATATAATAATATTACTGTTTTAGAAAAGTAATCCGTTACATTACTAGTTACTGGGAAAAGTAATATTATTACAGTAACGTGTTGCTGTGCAACACTGGTTAGGACCCGCCCTACTCTGCTTCTGATTGGCTAGTAGTCCTTATCTAGGAACTGCACATGTGCAACTCCCATCAAAGATCAAATAGAAATGAGATGCTATGACCTCTTTAATGATTTAAGTCATTATTTTGCTGGTTTCAGACTGTTGCTTAGACGACATTTAACATTTGACAACTGTGGCTTCTTTTGATTAAAGAAAAAAACTAAACATGTTTATATTTCCCAAAGTAAGGTTTCAAGAAAAGTAAAAAAAAGTACAGTATCTGAGGTGTGGAAATTTAAACAATCTTCCAAATAACTTGCAACATTTACTGCTCCCTTAGATAAGTCTTCTTTATTACTTGAAGAAAATGACATTTCTCTCTGCAGGCTGATTTTCATAGACATAAAGTCAAACCGACAAGGAATTCAAACCATCAGTGAAAGGGAATCACTTAAAAAGCTGATGACTGATGATTGGGGCAGTGATCAGCAGGGATATGATGTAAACAGGATGTGTTGTAAAGGATCAGGAGACGTGACGGATAAAAACAGCGTGTAATTACCAACATGTAGTTACAAAACCAGTGTTTAATCTGAACATTCAAAGTAAAACAGTGACTGTCGATGTGTTAGTACTGTGTGTGTGTGATGTCACTCTACCTGACAGACTGAATGAATTTGTGTTTTTTTTCCCCACTGTAACACAACATTACAGGACGAAGATCAAAAACTCCCGAAACATCTTTATTAATTGTAACAATATTTTAATTGGCTTTTATTTTGACAGGGCCAGGAGGAAATCTGTAAATTCCACTACATCTTTAATAAAAGGACGTTTGTGGCAACCTTTGTGTGTTTTTTGGCACTCAAACAGAAACGACACTGTCAAAGCTCTGAGATCCTCTGAATGTGCTTCTCAGACCGCGATCTGTGGCGTTTGGGACATTTTACAGTGTATCAATCTACTTGGGGGACAATCTCTGTAATGGAGACACCATTTTCAAAAGTCCACTTCGTAGTGTTTCGGAGGATCTATTGACAGAAAAGTAATATAATAAGCATAACTATCTTTTCAGCGGTGTAGAAAGACCTTACATAATGAACCATTATGTTTTTATTACCTTAGAATGAGACATTTCTATCTACAGACACTGCGGGGCCTCTTACATGGAAGGACCCATGATGCGCCGCCATGTTTCTACAGTAGCCCAAACGGACAAACTGCTCTACAGAGTGCGTTTCGTCACTACGTTGAATACATATGAAGAAGAAGGCAGAAATAGAAGTCGTCGTCTGGTTTGTTAGAAGTAAGACAGAGCAGAGCGTGTCGGCCACCGTAGCTTCTCCTGTGCGCTTGGAATGGAGGGGTGAGTGGTGACTGCAATGACGTTGGACTGTAGCACCGCTCACGCCACGCCCCTCGCTCAAGCCATGACCCTCACGGTACAGTCTGTAATGATTGGCTGTAGCCGCAGCACCTTTCTGTATGGTCTGTTCTGCACATCCATTATTCCTGCCCAATTTATACCACGCATATGTGGACACTGTAGTTTACAGAAGCCATGATTTAAAGAACAACTTTATATGCAACATAATATTATACAAATACACAAGGAATTATAGCATTAGCATAAAGACTGAAATTATAATTGAAGTATCTTGCTCAATGTGTTCTTGTTTCCACAAGCTAAATGTTAAAGTGATCTGGGAAAGTATAATAAGTGATTCAAACACAAGTAGTGCAATATTAATTCTTTTTTTCATGTCAATAGTACTATTGACAGAAAATGTTAATATTAACGTCTAGTAATACTACATAAACATTTTTATAGTAAACTCCGATCTTGATATGAATGCTGGATATTAAAGGCAAACAGTATCAACAGTCCCACTGCATGTTGGCATAGTAAGCAGGCACAAATAGAAAACCAAGAACAACACAACCAGCATGATTGGTGCATCTGTTTATTGAGGTTGTCCACAAATGTTGCACATTAAATGAATAAAATGCCACAATATAATACAATAAGATTTAAAAAACACAGAACAATAAAAAATGTAGGTAAGGATATTAATAGAAACATAAACCTTTGGACTACCATTAACAAAATGCTTGTTTTTAAAGATTATATGATTATTTAGATTAAACAGCTGAAATAACTTTAATTAAAATGCTTTTTTTTTTTTACTTATTTGTCCAATAACATCATAAGTTCATCTTTTGCTGCACTGATCTGTGATTACCTACCTGCTGCTTCTGCTGCGCCATTACTGTATTTTATGTTATCATCTTCGTCTTCAAATCCCTTCTAGTCTGATGAACTTTGACCTAGACTGAGACCCGTGCTCTCGCCAAGCCCCTCGCTCACGCCACGCCCCCTGAGCTACTGTCCGCAGCCGGACCCTTCACGGTCACTGAGCCGTTGGTTGCAATTCACAACCCTCACCACTAGATGCCATTAAAACTTACACGGTGAACCTTTAAAGACGTGGTATTCTGCTTTTTGGCTTTTTCCCCCTCCTTTATTGAGTTTAGACCTTTTTTGTGCGTGTAACAGGTTTGCAAAGCGAAAAAGCGCAAAGGGAGTTCCCATCTCCCACAGAAAACTCTGCTCTGAACTGAAAACAGCTCGTTTGTAGTCCAGACGCTTCCCTTTGAAACGGGCCTCCTATAGCGCTTGCCAAGCGGCTACTCCGACACGCCCTCAGAAACAGCGAGCTGCAGCACACAGCTCTCCTCTCCCTTCCAAACACTAGCTACCCTCCAGGCAGTCAGTGGACATAAAGTTGTTCCTGTGATGTAGAGACAGAGCTCAGTTAAAACTTTATGGATACAGATTAATAACTCGCCGCTCTGAAACTCTCGCTCCAGTCCATGTTGCCGAGCCGGTCGGCAACACGTACGGCTGAACCCGAGCTGTTTACCGGCTTCTCGCTGACCCGCCCTTCTCTGCTTCTGATTGGCTAGTAGTCCTTAACTAGGAACTGAGCATGTGCAACTCCCAACAAAGATCATGTACTGTCAAGATGTATCACTCCTTAGCTAAAACAAAGCCTTCAACACAGGCTGAAAAGAGGAGCTGCAGCAATGTGACAAAGAATATGGTGTTTTTTGAAAATGAAACCATGTAAACCTGCTATGGTACAACCTCTAAATAAGATTATGAATCTGAAAATGCGCATAATAATATTAATAACCTCTTTAAATAACCTCACATCTTTCATATGAGCAGGAATAGTAAGTTGTTGCAGGTCCTTCATGAGTAAAAATCTACAGGCCTTATTATCCTGATACCTCCTGATCCCTAGAAGATCAGCCCTTTAGGTTTTAATCACCCCCCTGACCTTTTCTTTAGCGCAACCCTCAGGACAAATGGCACATGTTTGGCTCCACTGGGCCTTATGAATTCCTGATGCATCAGTATGCTTGTTTTGGTTAAACATTCAGACGATATTTGACTGTTTCTGCAAGTATTTAAACAAAATGCACATCATCAAATAAACAAATACTGTCACTAATATTAAATGCTTCTTTTAAAGTGTTGTTTTTGTAATCATTATTCTTCTTTCTTTTTTTTTTTTTACTACAAAAACGGTGCAGCTGAAACCATCAGACCAAAAGTCACTAAATTGCTCAGACACTCACTGAACTTAAGGTGGCACTGTAACAAACAAGTTAACATTGTCACAATTTTCTCAACCTTATCTCAAAAAATGATCTCGGACGGAAAGAATTGTTTGACCGTGCTTATGGCCCCGTGTCCACCAAACCGTTTTTTTCTGACGCCAGCGTCTTTTTTCAGTTCATTGCAATGGGAGCGCCATGTTTTTCCAAGCTGGTAAAAACACCAGGAGCGTGACGAGGCCCTGAGCGTTTTTTTACGGTCACCGAGAGTTGAAAAATTTTCAACTTTGGGAAAAACACTTTTTACCCAGCTGTCCAATCACAGTGCAGAAGGGGCGGGACAAACACCGCACCGAGCACATCCCATCTTGAACGAAACGATGTGCCTACTTGCCAAGGTGTTTCCTCGCTCATGAACCCGCGTACGGACAGTCTGTGCTCTCATGTTTCAGCCTTCTCTTCATGCAGAGCAAGTAGGCCTACGTACTTTGTGGTGACTGTTTTACATTCACTAAAATTAAGTAGGCTACCCTACTGGCAACACATCGCCTCCACGGAAATTATGTATCATAGTAACCACAGCATCTTGGAAAAAAACACTGCGCCTCCAAAACGCACCCTAGCGCTCCCAGCGAGGCGTTTTCAGGACAGCAGTGGGCGTTTTCAGCTCGTAAGAAACGCTGTGGTGGACACGGGCCCTATTACAGTCCTGCCATTCGGGATTCTTTTCAATTTAATACATATATGACTACAATGCTTCTGAAATACATGACCTAGCTGTTAACTACAGTAACCAAAGTTGAGTCAGGATTTAGTCTTTCCTCCTCTTTGTGCCTCTGTTTGGGGAAGAAACCTCTTTAAATGGGATTGTGGCACATTTTCACCTCAATGATAAATTATTTAGTTTTAATTTAGTTAGAAACTCCTGGACTTTAACAGCTCCTGTGTTTCGGCAGATTTTCTGCTCATTTTCAAAACTTTCTGCACATTCAGAATCTCTCCCACAGATCTGAGTTCTCTGACGCGTCCAGAGAAAAGGCAGAATACGAGACTAACGTCGTAATTTATTGAGAAGTCTACTCTGCTGTGCATTACATTATTGATCCGCTGGTAGTAACGTTATCCCCTTCAGACCGTTTGACCGACGCAGGTTGGGACTGCATGCTGGATGTGAAACCGGAAGTAACTGAAACACTTGTGATCAGGCAGAAATGTCACCACAGATCCACACATGTTAACTTCAGCAGCTTAAAAAGTCGTGACACCCCTAAAAATCACCCATACATCCTACAGCAGAGGTTTTTGGTCTAATGTCACCAAAATATTTGACAAAACCAGCAGAATGATGTGTGAATTTCTTCAGAATTTTATCACCAACATTTTGACAGCTGTTGTTTTAAGTTTAAACCAGCTCTAATACCTCAGTCATGTGATGTCATTGCCTTAACTTGTGAGAAGTTGTTTGAAACCACGGCTACATGCAGACTCTCTCATTTGACATTTCCTTGATCCTCACTTCTCTCTTGAACTCATTCTGGTCCGCCATCTTGCAGGCCATCCCAAAGCTCTTATTTGTGCTCCGAGGAGCGAGAATTAAGGAGCCATGAGAGCATCCGTCACAGAAGTCTTTTACTGGCCGAGATGCGCCCGTTTTGGATATCAGTTACTGATTGGATGCTGCAGCTGATCAGACTGATCTGATACATCAGGACAGCACTGGAGTTTCATTCCGGAGTGAAGACAGATAACAGTCAACTCAAGTTTTATATTTGATTTGTTTTTCTGATTCACGGTCTAGTTATAAATCTGTGTTTGATGTAGGTCTGAACAAAGAAAGGACCACAAACAACTCTCTGCATTTATTAGAAAGATTTGTCTTTTCACAATCTGTTTATTTCCCCATCAACTTTTATTAGAGAGACAGTTAAAGTCAGAGCGATTCGGACAGTCTGTCAGCGAGAAACACTTTTCACATCATTTATCATCATTTATCATCATTAATAATCACATTACAGTCACCCGATGCTGATAGTTCCTGAGCGTGGGCTTTGATTGATGAACTACATCAATTCCTCTGAAACATTTAGCCTCATAAATCATTTCCAATGTTCAAAAGACAGCACGGTCATGTTCTGGGTTATTCAATAATGAATTCACAATAACAAATTCAAAAAATACAGATGCAGATAAAAACATATTTCTGTTTCTTCTCTCCTCGCATGGTTTCCTTAACAGACTTGAGATCCTGCCACATCTCCCCAGAGGTGCAGGCAGTAAGTCACCTTCTCTGAGGATGCCAAGGTCCAGGGTCTGAACTGCCAGGTGGCTACGTCCTACTTTCCAACAATATGCCGTGTATTAAAGTGCATATTGAAGTCATATCAAGTCAAAGTTGTGACCTTGCGATTATTTTTCTCTGCTAAAAGTGTTTGTGCAGCAAAAAACCGTAAGACAGGAGAAACCCAGAAATTAGCAGGTGGGTTGCAAATTCAACCAACTGCTCAGGCACATAAAATCACACACATTGACCTCAAGGTGGCGCTGTGATAAACAAGTTTACATCTAATTATCACTTAAACAGCTTCTTCTTCATCTTCATCGAAAAATGTCACATGGTGAGTTTATTTTTCTTAAAATCCTATTTCAGCATCGTCAGAAACCGCTGGGCCAATTGTCCCAAAACATGGTTATCTACACTTTTGACATTTTATGTACATCGATTTGTTCCAATTATACAAGCTGATCAATTTTCATCAAAATGGCAACAACTGAAGTTGTGTGAAACGAGTCTTCACCAAGGTGAGGTTATGAGCTACATGAAATGTTTCAAAAGTAGATTTATACACATTAACAGAGCATCAGCATGTAGTGAGGACCACGATGAATTCTTTTTAAGGGTACTTACTTGGTATAGTGTACAGCCAGTAAGATAACTCAAAAACACAAAGTATTCTGGATATCATACGTAAAAAAATAAAGATTCTGTGGCATGCAAGAGACACTGAAATGATTCATGACTAATTATTTTACTTTAAATGTGTTTTAACGACGAGGAGCCTTTTAAATAAGGAGTTTTAAGTAAATGTGAGGTCATTTTAGAGAAAACGTGTCCCATGTTGACAAAACCACAAACAGATCAGAGACTCACATGAATGTTTGAAACTTGGAACAGACGACTTTGTCAGAAGGATCCTTTTCCAGCAGGAGAAACTTTTACCTTCATCGTCGTAGTCTTCAGTCTGAGTTTAAAAATCCTAAAAAAGCCGTGTTGAATTTCTTTAGTTCGAACGCCGTAGATGATGGGGTTGACTGTCGCTGGGAACAGAATGTACATGAGCCCCATGAAGGTGTTGGCGTCCGTCGGTATGTGGATGTTCACGTTGTTAGAGAGGAAGGTGACGGTACCCACCAGGTAGAAACACATCATGACGATCAGGTGAGTGCCGCAGGTGTGAAACGCCTTCCAGCGGTCCTCCCCGGCCGCCGTCGCTCGCAATACGACGCTCAGGATCTTCATGTAGGAGAAGAAGATGAGCGTCACGTCCACACCCACAAAGCATATGATCACAGCGAGGCCCGCCACTCTGTCTTTATCCGTACTGCCGCACGCCAGGCTGACCAGCGCCATGTGGTCACAGTAGCAGTGCTGGATCACGTTGGTGCCGCAGAACTGCAGCGAACCTGCCAAACCCACCAGCGTCGCCATGATGGAGCCGCTGCGGACCAGAGTGAAGAGCAGCAGCTTCACGACCATGGAGGAGTCCATGATTTCAGTGTAGCGCAGCGGATGGCAGATGGACACGTAGCGGTCGAGCGCCATCGCCAGCAGCAAGGTCGACTCCAACGAGGACAGGAAGTGAGTGAAGAACATCTGAGTCAAGCAGCCAGCCAACGAGATCTCGTCCCAGTCGAACAGGAGGCTGAAGAGCAGGTTGGGGATGATGGCGGTCACCGTGAGGATGTCAACGACGCAGAGTGTGCAGATGAGGAGGTACATGGGGCTGTGCAGACTCCCCACGCTGTGGATCACATACACCAGCAGAGAGTTTCCCAGCAGCACCGACAAGTAGGAGGCGGAGAACGGAAGCGCCAGCAGCCGGCGGTGTTTCTGCAGCTCAGGGAAACCTCTGAACACGAAGGCGCTGTGGGAGAAGTTCCCGCCCAACGACACCTCCAACATGGCGCCGGTCTCACCTGAACAGTCAAATGAAAATGTGATAAAAAATTTCACCCTTCAGTCGTGTTTAATTCATTCGTATGCAGGACAACAGAGTTTTGTTATGTAATATATATATATCGGTCATAGATGGGTATATGTATAACTTTCCTGAGAGTTCATAAAATGTGCATATTCAGTGAGCTTTTCTGTTCAACATGTTTTGTAATTCTTTTATAAATGGCTGCTGACTGTGATTAGGCTCATTGTGTGTCATGGATTGGCTGAGTGCGGTGGCAGGTAAACTGAGGTGTGGACCCAAATGCAGACAATGGCGAGGAGGACGCTGTTCAAACCAGGGATTTATTAAAGTAATAAAAAATGGCTTACATGGGAGCACAAGGCAAGAGTCCAAATGAATCAGAATCCAAACAGGCAAAGTAATAATCCAAAAACGCAGCGCATGGCAGTAACACTCAACAGTAGACGAGGATGCAACAAGGACTGAACAGAACCGAAGGCTTAAATACACGGGCAAACGAGCAGGGAGGGACGGCACAGGTGCACAGTGAAACAGCAAGGCCAACAGACAGGAAACTAATTATACAGATAAACTACAACCAAACAGGGAAACAGACTGAGAACAGAACACAAAGCAGACAAGACCAAAATAATACAAACACACAACCAGGAACAAATACGAAGACATGAACTAAGACACAGAACTAAAATGCAGGACTAAAACTAACAGGTACTAAGTGAACTAAACATGCAAATGAACAAAAGAATAAAGAAGGCTACAAAACACAAAACCCGAAACAAATAAACACTATTAATAAACACTACTTGGCAATAAAGCTCCTTCTGATTCTGAAACTTACAGAAACACAGAACCCAAAACCGAACCCATGAAACAGACTAAAACATGAACACAACCCAAAATCCTAACATTGTGATGACATTTACCTTCATGAGTTTTATAATGCGCCCATTAAGATGACTGTGCAAAGAGCAATAACACTTACACATTATGATTTATGGGCTGCGATGCACTGAAGCTAATGCTGGAGGGTTTTAAATCTCCATTCACTCCCATCTACATCTATAATTCAGCCAACACATTAGGGTCAGTGAGTTTTAAATGTTTTAAAAGGATGTGCTTCACTAATTTCTTTTACTTTTTTATATCAGTACTTTGCCCACAAATCATTTAAATCAATCAAATAACGTCTTTTCATTGAGATTTAAGGTGATTCAATTATCGTATATTAATGTATCATTTCACCCAAATTACAAACAAATACATTTTGTCACTTACTTCTACTAGTATCCAGTCATGTCGATAGTTTTGGTTTTATTGCTGCTGTCACCACACGTTTCTGAAATAACAAAATATATTTTTATTTTTTAATATATGTAAGTCCTCGACTCAAATCTTTGTCGTTAACATTCTGACTTACATGGAAGATGTAGGTTAAAGAAGGAAAGAACGCTAAAGGCAAAAGTAAAGTTACATAAATAAAATAGGACATTATTATAGAGCTTATAGACATTTATATCAACAAACATACGGGTATCCTTTTACACACACAGTTTACATGTATTATGTGTTTAGTTATAAACACTACCCTAAATTTACCACCCTGGAACCAAAGCTGTAAAAAGTCTACGTGATTCGTATGCTCCAAACACTGCTGCTTATTTTGTAGCTTCAAATAAAGGCCATTCTGTTATTTAAAACATTACACATTAAAAGCATGAAAGCAAATTGTGAGATTCTGCCCTTAGTGTTGCTGGGAGGCTTTTAATGGGAAACATTTTTTGCAAGAAGTGTTAAGTGCGTAAGAGCAAATAAACGAATGACAAAGTTGAACAAATGGCAATAATTTGTTAAAAAAGCAGTTTGGTTTGTTTTTCTGAATTCACTTTTGAAATATTGGCCAGTATTTCTAATAAAGGAAAAACATGTAAAAAGGTTTGTAAGGAAACATAATGTACATACATGGCAACCCGCTCTACATCCTGATCCACAGCCACCCCAGTATGAAGTGATGTAAAAGGTAAATACTCAAGTAAACATTCAAAGTAATTAAACATTGTATTTGAGTACAGTCGATCTCTCTGTAGTATATACATATATATATATATATATATATATATATATGTATATTTATATATATATGTGTATATATATTTTATATATGTGTGTATACAATACAATATTATTTTGCTTTACAGAACATTAAAGACAAAAACCTTATCTCTAACAAAAATGTTTGTCAAATCTATTTAACCTCATAATTAAATTCTAAATAGTTAAACCTAAAATAAGAGATGAAAATAAAACATAATTAAAATACTGAGCAAATTAATTATTAATGACCAACATACAGTACTGAAGTTATTAACATGAGAACATTAATGAGCCAGTTAGGTATCATGTAGGAAAATTAAATTTGAAATTTGAGTACTTTAATATAATCATATGTTGTACACCTCACTATGGATTTGGATCATTGAAAACAGAAACCACACAAGTACTATTCAATTATTGATACAACAAAAATCTACTTTCCTACCTGCTGCGGTTCATCAGCTCGTCTTTAGGAAGTACTCTCACCACTCTCTCTCCGACTTATAGCTGAAGTCCAAACCTCCCACAGGAAGACTGATCCCAAACACAGCAGCACTCTAATTGGCTGAAACCAGTTTAGACCAATTTAAACGTCCCTAAGCCTTTTAGAGGAGAAGTTTATTCTCATCTCCAGGAGATGTTGAATGTTCCTCCAAGCTTTTTGTATGATTACTGAATTTCGTTTTGTAGAGCTCATTTATAAAGCAAAAAATGTGTTTGATTCAAGCCCTCACGTGTGAATATTTGTTGGTTTTCTTTATTCTCTATGACTGTAATCTCTTTGGTATGTTGGTCCGACAAAACAAGACATTTGAAGAAATTGTGATGGACGTTTTTTCACTATTTTGTGACATTTTAAAGATGCACATGTTATTACTACATGGCAAATGATCTAGCTGTTTGAAAACTCTGTATTGAAAGAACAATAAACCAAAAATGGTTTATTGTTTTTTTCTGTACGTCATGCTGATATTTTCTTTTCATCTCGTCCCTGTGTCCTCAAATTATACAGATTTTAACCATCAGTTAGAAAAGGCAACAGCAGTGTGTGTTACATTAAACATGCGTGTTTTTCACAGCAGTGTTTCCTAAACTTATCAGTCTGATATAATCTTCTCCTGCGACAATATTGGAACAGTAACTCAGAGAAAGGAACATGTTTCCTCTGAGGCTTAAACTGTAAAATCTAATTAAACTGCGGCTCATCCCTTCAGGACTCAGTTTGCTGTTGTGATTTCTCAAAGCTAATTGGCCCTTAGGTCAAAACAGCAGAGTTTAGTTTCCTTTGAGAAGGGATTCATTATCTGCTCTGCCTAATTAGTCTTTCTGGTCAGACTCACAGAGCTGCAGATTTAATTAGATTTTTGTGACTTCAGTTTTAATAAATGAACACGTAGACTCAGCTGACCCTGCTGACAAGCAGAAACAGTAACTCTTCCTACTCAACGTCAGCTCACCTGTTGACCATCAACACTGTTTCTTTAGAAAAACAGTATTTTCCTTTATATTAAAACAGAAAAGGAAACATAATTTTGTTGTGTATCTTACTTACTGGATCCTCTTTGTTCCCTGTGGAACAAAAGGCCACAACAGGTTAATCACAGCGGCCTCTGTTCTCCTCACACTGTTCACATCTGCAGCATAGGAGGCTCTAACATACAAGTGACCGCTGCCATTTCCGTTTATGATAATTAAGTTGCTGGTTCTAACACCATTAGACCTCCACGGGAACTTAAGGCAAATAACCGTCTCTGTTATCCCACATCTGTGTGTGCCCATGACTTAACTGTTGCTCCTATTCTCAGATCCCACCTTGACATTCATGTTCCCACCAGCAGCGTTTTGTTATTTTTTTGTCATCGTTTTCAAGACGCACGACTGTTGAAATGCATCATGATCTGCTGGAATACCGGTGGGAGAGATAAAATGCATTATGGGATTTGTATTTTTAAAATGTTAGTAGCCTCATAGCCACAAAAAAAGTTTCCAAAGCTGCGCTTCAGACGGTGGCTGATGAGCTGAGCGACATTTATGCCGATTGCAGTCGTTACTTTAAAAACAACAACGAATTAGAGGGAAATCAAGGGTAGGTCCAGCATTGAAGGTGTAAGCTCTCAAATGTTTTTTCTTTCGTGTTTCTATGTGCTACAGAGGCTGAGAAATAAAGTTTTTCAGAAACCCCTCAGGTTTCTGGAGGAGGGTGTTTTCAAACAGTGTCTCAGGTTTTTGAATGCTTTTGTGGGTTTTGAGGGTGCCGTAAGTCTTAATGGGTTAAATCAGTTTACTTTTTTTACCTTGTTGTGATCCAAAAGCCACATACAGACATTGTCACATGAAGCTTAACCCTTGCAGGAAACTCAAACTGCAAACATCAGAAATCACAGCTGTGTGGACAGAACAGAAGAGCTGATGCACGATGAGTCACCTCCAGGTGATGGCTGTGATTAAATGTGTCAGAACAGCTTGGAGATGGGGAGAGAAGATGTGATGGCAGCACACTGACATCTAGTGATGGACACAAACACATCTGACACTGTTTCTTCATGTTTCAGATAATACTGTCTGCGGTGTTCCTTTGGGAAGAGGTAACTAAATTAGCTGTTATAACAAGACAAAAAGGTGTAATGATTTCCTCAGAGAGAGGCAACTGTCGAAGTATCATTTGGAATAACTGTGCTATCGTCCAAGCATTATGGCAGTGTATTACTGCCACTACAGCAACCATGATGAAGAGACAGTTATCTCAGAATTACCAGTAAGTTTATTATGAGAAAAAAACATTTTAACTTACACGTTTTTGTCATGTTTTGAAAATATGACAACATGATAAAAACAGGACGAAATTAAACTGACAACATGATGTAAATATGATTTTCAGCATAGTTTTGTGATGTTTTA